TTGAGCAAACTGTATTTGTTTTCTTGAATAAATACTATCAACTGAAATTCAAATATTTATATGAAGAAACTTCGAGACATTGATCTAGAGACGAGTTTAATTTCAGACTTTATTTCTCAAGTGGCTGTTTTTCAAGTGGTGTCTAAACAATGCTAACTCTATGTTTGCACAAGCTTTTGATTACTCCTGTTATTTGTTTCGTAACAAAAAATTTAAAACTTCACTTAAATCCGATGTTTTATTTTTGACATAAAATAATAATGCCCTCTAACGTTACAATAAACAGATACGAGAACATGCACGAGAAGTTTCGATATTTAGAAAACTCTTGCCTGTTTGCAGGATATTTGCCAGCAAGAAATCCCCCTGGAATCTGTGTTATTAAATAACCCCAGAAGAATGACGAGTCAATAACTCCAATCGTTTCTGGTGACCAGTCGAATTCGGGCCCCTAGTAAAAAAAAACAAAAAAAACAAACAACAGATGCTTGATTTATTCGATAGAAAATTATCATAATTTATTATTATTATAGGGTCAAATTATATTGACAGACATAAAAACATAAAATGGATAACATTGTGCCTGCGTGATGAACCCTGGTATTGGACGAAATGCCTCTTCGGCACTGGATATAGTAGGTATAGTGTGGCTGACGTGTTATTACGTTCTTCTTTACTTCCGCTCATAGATTTTTTCCCCCAGTGGAACAGCGGTAAATCTACAGAGTTACAACGCTAAAATCAGGGGCTCGATTCTCTTCGGTGGACAGCAGATAGTCCGATGTAGCTTTGCTATTAAACACACACATACATAGATTTTTATGATATACTAACGGTCTTCTTCGAAGCATTGACTCTGTGGTCAACTGATTTGCTCCGGTATAAAAAAGATTGGCCAACTGGTTCGCCAGTTGTTAATAATAACGCACAAAGAGTTAATTAAAGTAAAATAAATAAATTTATTGTTAAAATAAATATATAGTTCGATTTTAATAAAAATCTTAAACCTAATTTTGATGTGTAATGACTTAAATAAAATTACGGTTAACCAACTTAATTTAGTTTACGCCGACAAAGTTGATGTTTAAATAATTGATGACGTAAATATCGCCTCCTACGTCTGTCTTATCCTAGCCGGCCTGATGACCCCTGGTATTGGGCGAAAGTCCTCGTCAGCACTGGATAAAGCAGATATAATGTGGTTGACATGTTAATACATGATTTTTAACTTTCACTCATTAGTTCTTGTAATAGCAAGTAAAATCCAATAAGGATCAAACCGATCAGTTTTATTAGATTTTTACCTGCTAATGTAAATAGAGATCCAATACTCAAGTCTAAGATAATTCTCTGATTTATTTATTTTTTTTTATCTCCGAACCTCAAACTTTGGATTGACAATAATTATCCGCCGGTGGGTCAGCGGTAAGTCTACGGACTTACAACGCTAAAATCCGGGTTTGGTTCCCTGCAGTGGATGCGGCAGATAGCCAAACAGAAAATAATTATGCTGAACTTATAAAACAAGTGTGACACTTTTTTGTATATATATATATAAAGTTTAATTTGTGTTTCTCATATGAGGGCCCCCAGTGCCACAGCGGTATGTCTGTGGACTTACAACACTAAAAACCGGGTTTCGATACCCGTGGTGGGCAGAGCACAGATATCCCATTGTGTAGCTTTGTGCATAACTTCAAATAAACAAACTCACATGAGGAGACACTTCTTAATAAGTTATAGCTTTTACAGCACAAAAAATTTTCATTCAAACTTCATTCTCTATCTATATTTCAAACGTTTAGTTTTTGGAGAGGAATTTTAGATTTTTTTTACGTGATTAATTCCACCTGATTATAATCTAGTGGTGTTTTAATTAGTTCTCACGCCAACCGCTAGTTCAAGAATCCAAATAAAACTACTATCTTTCATTACAAAAAATACGAGGTTTAGCTTCCAAAAGGACTTGTCAAGTGACTCGGTAATGGAGAAACCGTGTTTCCGTGGACGTTAATGTGTAATGGATGAGCCTCTGGGTCCTCGTTGTCACCCAGAACCGCCTTTAGCAATTTGGCTGATTCGGCTTTCCATCACTCACGAAATGCTGTTGTGCTCTGGTTGTCTTTGTTGCCATGGATTAATGGGTGAGTGTACCAGCAGATAGCAACAACATATCACCTTTGAACAATTCTTACGTTAAGAAAATAAAAGACACAGCAGTCAACATTGTTTCATCCTTTATAGAGAAAGAAAGAATGGGTAAACTGAAAGGAATATTCAACGAGATTACTCTTTTGGTGACGAGATTACTACAGCAAGTTCGCGTGATGTCATGAATAAGGCCTTTTCAACTGTAGCCAAGAGCGTAAGCACTACATCTGACTCAAGAAAAGCTTTTAAGAAAAAATAAATACTTATGGAAGTAGCTTAAGTACGTACAATATATATATAAAATAACGTATTTCTGAACATAAACAACAACAATATTGGAGATTATGTTATAAAAAAAGCTACCTTTTTTTGTTGAGAATATACCGAAAATATCGTTAACAGTTGGAGTATTCAACTGATTAAACATTACATTCCAAATCTTTACAGCAATAACGCAAGGACAGTAAGTTTAATTGACTATACTTATTGCGTGGTTGATTTTATTGTTTTGTTTTTTATCTAAATATGTAGAGTGCTCTGATCAGAAGTTAGTGTTAGTAGCTGCGGCAATATTTATAATACGACTGCTTTCCAAGGATTCTTGAACGCTGAAATGTAAATCAGCGTCATCAAAGCTGGTACTTAAGAAATCCTTGTTTGACGCATTTGAGCCAATTTTATATGAAGCAAGAAACACTTGGTGATCTCAGAAACAGAAAAAAAATATTCTTAACTCTGGTTTTATTTGCACATTGGCGATTTTACTCAGTTATTCATCTCTTAAATAATTACATAGGAAATTGTTTTTCATGGACAAGACTTATTTTACCAGATTGCCAGAGTAAACAGCTGGAACTTTTTTTCCATGCGGAGTGACACTGTAAAATATTTTAGACGTAATGACATACTTTTATAGCATTTTCTAAAATAACCTGATGTTTATTGCATGCGCGTTTTAAAACGATGCACAAGAATATCAGTTAAAAGCCCATGTAGTTAAAAAGTAATAAATAAAATAAGTTGTCTTGAACCTACTCAAAAGAAAAAGGTTGATTCTTGTTTTTATTTTCGCGACTGGCTAGGCCTTCAGATCTTAATTACTGCTGTCGCCCAATGACAAATTACGTTAAGAAAACGTAGCAGAGAGGGAGGTAACACTGTACCGCGTGACCTGTCTCTTGTCAGGTGATCCTTCGGGTACATTTTAAATAAACTTTGGATAATAACAAACACGTTTTGAGGTACAGAGAAATTGGGACGTTTTTGACGCTTTTAATGTCGATCAAGGCAGAAAAAATTAGGCTAAAAACTGGAACGACTGGTAACTTCCTGAGAAAGCGTTTAACTTCAAGCATCTACATTTGAAGCAATAGATAGAGAGAGAGGGAAAGCAGAAATCTGAAAATAAATGTTCAGTGGTGGATCTATATAGACTGGATTTATATAGACTTCTCGCTTTACCAAAGTTCGCTAATTAAAAACGATTAGAAAATAGACCAATACCAGTTATATTTATCAATCTTTCTCTAACCTTTCCATTCGTTGTTGATTTGTAATAGTAACAACTCTCGAAGCCTTACTAATAATATACGTTATCTATATATTTAACCCTAGGGTTTCTAATATATGTTTGACTATCGGTCTTCTTTTCCGTAACGACCTTCATCCAAACTAGTGTGGAAGTCGGTCACTAGGTTTTGTAAGTCAAGAATTGTTATACCTGGGTAGCCTTCTCAAACGGCAACGAGGGGATTCGAACTCGCAACTTGATGGTTGCGAGTAGAGCCCCCTAACCACCAAGCTATGCCTGACCCACATGTTTGACTATCAGTAGCAATTGAGTTATTTCTTTAGACATAATTTCATGATATTTTATTTTAACTTTCAATTTCATGCCCTGCGTGGCCAGGTGGTTAGGGTGCTTGACTCGCAACTTGATAATCGCGGGTTCGAATCCCCGATTCATCAAATATGCTTGCCCTTTCTGCCGTGGGAGCATTACAATGTGACGGTCAATCCCACTGTTCGTTCGTAAAAAGATTAGTCCAAGAGTTGGCGGTGGATGGTGATGACTAGCTGCCTCCCCTCTAATCTTTCACTGTTAAATTATGAACTGCTAGTGCAGATAGCCCTCGTGTAGCTTTGCGCGAAATTAAAAGCAAACCAATTTATCTCTTAAATAATTACATAGCAAATAGTTTTTCACACACAAGACTTATTTTATCAGATTTCCAGAGTAAAAAGCTGGAACTTTTTTATCATGCGGAGTGACAATGTAAAAAATTGTATACATAAGAACATACTTTTTAGCAATTGCTAAATAACCTGCACGTTTTAAAACGATGCACAA